TGTGTGTGTGTGTGTGTGTGTGTGTGTGTGTGTGTGTGTGTGTGTGTGTGTGTGTGTGTGCGTGGATCTACCCTGAATGTGATGTGGCACCTTGAACCTCTGCGGCTATGGCCGCCTTCTGCCTCGTCCCTAAACCTAGCTATGGTTAGTACTCCCTCGTCGGCGCCTGCTTCTTCTCCCTGGCCTGACCCTTCGTCAAACCCGCACTATCACACAAGCAACCAGCAGTGCTTGCGAATAAACTTGTCCGCCTCGGCACTGTAGCAGCTATATATAGTAACAGTTGACCTGCTTTGCCTGCTTCAGACCGGTATCGGTCACCCGTGGCCTCTGCTGCATGTTGTCCTGTTCCGGAAGCCTCCAGATTTTCTTGAGACGCTGCTGCAAAATTGGACTTTGGGACTTGACTTCCTCTATCGGTACCGGCAGACACTTACTGACCTGCAGCGCTCTTGCAATGACTTGCTGTTTCTGGTCGCCTGTAGCCTCTCTCTGTCGAGGCTGTACCATAGGTAGGACAGACTCATAATTTTGTCTGGCTTAGGCCTAACCGAGAGACCTACCTGTAGGGGAAATTCGTAAGGGACATATCTGCAAATCTGGGAAATTATAGGCCCAGTACTAACTGAATTTCCTACTGCTACCCTAACTGCGAATAGCAGGCCCGGGCTACCCCTAGGACAGACAGGCCCTGAAGGCCTATGCTGATAGACGGTCCTATAGCCTATAGCCGGGTAAGATAGAGGCCGAAACAGAATCGGTACCGGTCGGTCAGTCAGTCCGGTCTAGGTCGAGTCTAGGCTAGAGTAGCTATAGATAGGATGGGCACATCGGTTCAGGGTTTTTGGCAGTTGGTACCGAGTACATCGCTGCTGCGCTACACGTGAACCGGAAGTGGTGACAGCTCAGCGTTGTGGGAGACAGGCATAGCAAGACCTTCGGAGCGCCGGCCATAGCTGGGACCTGCACTGTACTCTGTCAGCACGTAGGGGCTGTCAGAGGTCTGGGTTATCGAGGTCTACTGGAGGCGAGAGAAGTTGGTACCCTGCTGGACCCTCCTCCGGAGTGGGATTCCAGGGTTTGGCGCTGCAGCCATCGCTGCAGCTTCTTCCTCAGAGGTCATCTTGTCAGGATTTGGGTGGCGCTGCTGCAGACTTCCTTCCGGGAAGTCTTCCACACTTCGTCATCATCAGATACTGTGATGCTGGTCTTCTTCTTCATCCTCTGAGTGGCGCTTGGCCTCAGAGGCCTGTTTCAGGGTGGCACTTCCCTTTGGAGGCTGTATCTGGGTGGCGCTTGATGTTTCAGGGGCTCAGGGGTGTCACGTGTGGTTACTTGGGGTTGGGGAGTGAAGCGCTGCTCATCTCTGAGCAGAGCACTGTAGTTCTGAAGTTATTCTGACAATTCGAGACTCTGAGTTTAATAACCAGTGTGATACTGGGTTTGGACTATCATCGTTTCATTGTTCTCTGGATGTGATCTACTCGGCTTTCCTTTATGACTGGTTGTGAGGATTGAGTGGAGTGAATTGCACTTCAGTGTACCCTGTCATATCACATGGTCAAGTCTTCCGCTGTGTTTATCTCTCTCTGTGCGGTGTGATACTCCTATCCTCTCCCCTTCCTTCTGTGTATGTATGGGCATACCTGGAGGTCTATGTGAGTGAGTGTTGGTCTTCAGACAACAACAACCAGAATCATAACACTCTGGTACCCGACTTCTACCAACCTACGACACTTTACGGACCCTAGGACTCCACCTACTGGGACTTCCTGGGACCAGGACTAACTGGGACTCTGGGACCAGGACTCAGGACTGACAAAGTGAAATCCTTCATCTTGTATAAATGGCCCTAACATTCCGAACTGTTGCTTGGGGGGGGAAGAGGGGGGGAGGGGGGGGGAGGGTGGGCCAAGGACTGTTGGGCATCGCCAGCAATTTTGGTCCGCTAGGCCAAGCCTTTCCGCAGGCCCATGTTCCCAATGCGCTTTTTGGCCCTCGCATTCCCAATTGTTGCCGCAGGGGGCCGCCAGGCCTACCGGGTGTCGCCAGCCATTTCATCTGGTAGGATGAGCCTTTCTGCATCCCCGTGTTAAGCCACCACTACATCGGGGCCTGTTTTGACAAACTAAGAGCTCCATTTCCCTCAGTCTAAAATCTACAGTGCCCTTCCCCATTGAACCTCTACTACTGCACTTGGGCACTGTAGATTTTGACCCGGTACCTCTAGACGTACTGGTGGGTTAAACCATGACCCAGTACCTCTAGCGGTGCACTATTTTTCTTTTTTGGAAACTTTTACCCAGTACCTCCAGACAAGCATAATGGGGTCACGGCTTAACCCACCAGTACGTCTAGAGGTACCGGGTCAAAATCGGTACTGGGTCACAGTTTCCAAAAAAGAAAAATAGTGCACCGTTGTCGGTTTCAAAAAGCTACTGGGTCATGGTTTAACCCACCAGTACATCTAGAGGTACCGGGTCAAAATCTACAGTGCACGCAGGGGGTCGTTGGAGTCATGGTTCAACCAGTGATTGTGTGCACGCCGTGCAGGATAGGTGCATACTGGTGGCTTAAACCGCCAGTACACCTGGGCCTGGAGGCACCTTACTGCGTGCCAAGCCTTTTGAAACCGACAGTGGTGCACTATTTTTCTTTTTTGGAAAACAATTTGGCTGGCCCCGCCAGCCATTGTGGTCAGGTAGGCCGAGCCATTGCTACACTGCGGCGGCGACGAGTTGCTTTTTCTACGAGGCTGGGGCCATGTACTGGCGGTTGGAAGCATCGGCAGGCAGGAAACGCTACACATGGCTGAGTGTTTAGCCTTCAGGCAAGGCGGCACAGGTCGCTCACTGCCTGTGTCTGTCAGGGGAGTTACCACATCCCTGCAGTGACTGCTGATATGGTCAAGGTTTCAACCTGCAGTCATTTCATTTTTACTGACCTATATCAATGCTCAGCTTCCCTTTCGTTGCTTCTACCTGTTAAGCACAACAAAAAACACAACAGACAAAGAAGAGGCAGTGAATGAGGCCACAGTCCACAGAAAAAAAAAATAGTACAAAAAGTAAGAGAAATCAGGAAGGATAGAATTCAGAAGAAATGTGGGGTGGGAGGGGAAGAGGGGGAAGGAAAAAACTCTGCCTTGCTTTTTGGCCAGTTGTTGGATGGTTTCGAATCTTCAATCTGTACATGTTACATACTGATGCCACACGGGTCCCTTTCGGACCCGACCACTAGGCTAAGGGGTATTTAGGCCGGCCCAGCTAAAGGCCGGACCTTTCTCCCGGTAGGGCGTTTTGAGGCACCAGTTGGCCTTTCCTGCAGCAGACCAGGTACAGCCCCAAACGACATTATTGTTTGGGCCAGGCGGCGCCCTTGAGGCTGCCGCCCGCCAGTCTGATGTGAATCGTCAAGTTCGACGATTCAGATCAAGGTGCGTCAAGGCAGCATTGAGGCCGACCGGCCGCCGGCCGGTACTTAGGCCGGTCCAGCGGCCATTCCAGCAGGTTGGAGAGGAGTACGGCAGCAGTCGAGGGACAACGCTGCGCTAATCTTGGTTTAGCGCAGCTCCGAGCACAGCAGTGCTGGTTAGCGCTGAGTGATGGTTCGAGGTGGCAGACAGACACTTACCGGCTTACCTGCGCAGAGCCATAGCTCCAAGTTGAAGCCGCGGGTCTTCAACAGTTCCAAGGCGCCAGCTTGCATCCGCAGGTAGGAGCCTGGGTGCTGACTCACCAGCTCCACCTCTCCTCTGCCCCTCCTGGATCTTTCTCTTCTTCTTCTCCTTCTTCTTCTTCTTCAGACTTCTTCTCCTTCTTCTTCTTCAGACTAGAGACTATTGATACGAGTTGGACAGAGATCAGTGATTGGACTTCGGTGGTTGGAGGATGTGATACTTAACGGATTCGAGACATTGGAGATAGTTGAGATTGAGACCTGGCGGCATCACAGATCGGACATCGGTTACATTAGGATTCTGTACCTCCGACATTGGTGACTTATGTCCCCAACATTCTGTTTTTGGTTCGATGACATTTTGGGCTACCATATCGGTGACCTTCTGGATTCTATCTCGGTGACATCTGGCGCTGTCCATATCTTCCACCTCCATCGTCTCTCCTCCCACCATTCATCTGTGTATGGTTGTACTGGGCCTGAAGCATCGTCTATGTATGGCTTCAGACCCCACCATCTCACCATTGCTTGTGTGTTGAGTGATGTTGGGGTAAGTTCAGTCCATGTGAGTCAGTCCATTTCTCAGACTTCCGCTGCATACATGTTCATCCTATAATGGTTGATCTTTGGTTCTGCCCCTACTTGGTGAAGTATTCACTAGTATGCAACAGTTTGGTAACGGAGCAGACCAATTAAGTGGATCTGCTCACAGGGTAATTCTGATTAGGGAATCGATTGCTTAATTAGCATTGGCTGTTTCCGAATTAGTTCTGCATTGCCATCGAAGATTCAAGTTGCAAAATTCTATTTTTAATTCGGTATTCTATTTTAATTCAGTATTGAATTAGGTTTGCGATAATTTCGGTTTTCCACGTTGGGGGAAGATTCTCGTTTTCTGGAACCATAAACCAGAAATTCCGCGAAATCGCGGAAAATTAGGGTTGAGGTCTGAAATTTTCGTGAAATTTTTTCTTTTCCCTAATTGTTGAATTTCCGAATGCGAACTTCGGCCTTCTGAAAATCGGACTAGTTTAGGTTGAAATCCCCGAAGTTTCACGTTTCCTTCAAAATTCGAGTGTTTTTCCTTTTCCTAATTGTCTGGAAAAAAAAAATTCGTCTGGCAGACTGTTCGGAATCGTTTACCTCAGAACTGCAACTTCCGGGAAGTTCACTAACGACGGTGAACTCCCGGACCATAGGTGATCTCAACGGACACCTAATCTACCGACAATTTAAAATTCGTTATTGATAATTATTAACTTTTATTGATTGATGATTAATTATTATTCATTATTCCTTATTAAGTTATCAGTTATTTATCATTTTCGTAATTAAATTGTTTGGGGGAAAAAGATCATTTTTTTTTTCTCTCTTTTGATTAGGAGTCCAGTCCACATTGGGACAGGGGACTGTATGTTGGTTGATTGATCTGTTCTACCCCTGTTCCCACCCTCCCTCCCCTCCCCGTACTCTGTGACCACCAAGGGTTCCAAGTACCACATCAGCCCGTGCCGATGTCGACGGAACAGGACACCGGGACACTGCCACGACGCAGTGCCAGGCTCGCAGTTCGTGGCCACGCTGTGCTACCTCCTCGGCCGAAGTATCAGCAACAACGACTCAACAGGAGAGCAACTCCAGTGGCATCCAGTACCAATGCCGTACCGGTCACCGCAGGGATCCTTCCTGCCCCAAGGGGACCACGAGACTTTGGCAGCTTACCTTCAGCGGGTGCAGGCATTCACGGATGCCGTAGCCACAGCAAAGGCACAGCAAGAGGCACCAGAAGCAGAACGTCGGCGGCTTGCCCATGAGGCAACAGCCCAAGCCCAGCGGACTGCTGAGGCTGACGCAACGGCCCGAGACAAGCAGAACGCTGCCAGCACTGAGTCCTTGATTCAGAATGAGAGTCAGTGGACAGCGCTACTCCAAGGCATGATCTTAATGCCTACGGACGAGCAGGCGGATCCGACACCGGCGGAGGCAGAAAGGAGTAACCTGGCTAACTTAATGCTGTGTATGATGAGGGCAGTAATGTGGAACAACACGATGCAGATTGTGAACACGCACATGGAACGGCAGCTGAGGCAGACTCAACAGAAAGAGTCTTCAACCTTGACAGCCGCCATCCGCGCAGCAACACAACATCAGCAACAACAGCAACAGCTGTTGGCGTCCACTATCACACGCGTCAACAGCATCGAGGCTAAGCCCTCAGCAGCGCCAGGCTGCACGACGGACATAGCGAAGCAGCTCGGGGAGCGCATCGACCATGTCGTCAACATCATCGGCGATTTGGGTGACTTTACCAGTCCGGCATCGATCAGCAGCACGGTGGCCGCCATCAAGACGGACATCACCAAACTGCAGGCACGACCGGAAGCCGCCTCGAAAACGTACAAGATGCCACGCTTCAACATCGGGAAGTTTGATGATTACAACAAAACAGATGCTTTGGCATGGTGGCACTCCTTCATCACCGAAGCATCCTGCCACCACGTACCAGATTACCTGATGATGACAGCACTCTACCTCCAACTTATTGGAGGAGCACAGGCATTCATGAACCATCTGGCGACCAATCTGGGAACCACCATTGCCGACCTGCACACGCACATCACGTGGGAGCAGCTCGAGCAAATGTGGCACACTCGTTTCATGGTCCGGAATGTAGTTAAAGCGGCCATGAACAAGGTCCACTCCAGCTCGCAAGGGAACATGTCAACACGAGACTGGACGATCAAGTGGCAGAAGATAGTAACAACTCCAGGTTTCGACTTAAGTTTCCCAAACCTGCGACCCGAATTTTTTTCGCGATCGTGCGCAGGACTGCGGTCGGCACTCGGTAGCGAGTACGACTATGCCTCATTCCAGGGCATCCTTCACCGTGCTAACCTGGTCATCCAAACGGATGAGAAGGCCGCCAACGAAAGGCAGTCCCAGCCGCAACATGTGGCTAAGCAAGGCTACCAACGGGTGGCGCATAACAATGGGGTGATCGTTGACGGATCACCTGATCTCCAGCCTGCAGCAGCATCCTCGAGTGATGGAGGAGTTGTCGCAGCGCTCCCGCCGAAACATCCAAAAAGGGTTCGAAAGAACAAGGCGACATAAGGGACGACAAGGACGGAGACTGGGCAGCAACCATGGACGGCGTACAACATCACCAAGGAAGTATTCGAACTTCGACAACGGTATGGGTATTGTTTTTGGTGCAACAATGTCAAGCACACTACTGCACAATGCCCGGACAAGGGCAAGGCAAAGGTACCCCGTCCAGCTAACTCGGGAAACTGAGTTGCGCACGGAGAGGGGCGACGCCTCTCCACACTCCGCCGGAACCGGTTGCCTTGCTAGCAAATGATATCACTGTCGGGGAGCATGCGTTAGTCGCTGATTCTCGTAACACATACGAGGATTATGCCGCCCAGCTGGTGCCACCATTGGAACAGCCTGGCCATGTGCACCTAGATACCGTATGTGTAGCTTGTACACCGTCGGCAAGAGAACCGGTTAGTTCGCCACTTATTTTCGAGGACTCAACGGCGTGGTCAAGGCTTGAGGACCTTGACCCGCTCACGAGAGAGGACTTCGCCTGGATGCCTCTACCCTTGACCAGATCCTTGCCAAAGTCGCACTGTAAAGCCTTGATGGCAAATCTACGCTCCAACTTGCACGCTGTAGTACCAGCTCCGTTGACGGACGACAGAGTAGCGGTTGTCGATCTCCGCTACTATCTTGCGAAGATTGACCGCGAGTACGCCACCCAAAGGTACGTTGAGACTGACGCTCCTCTGCTCTATATCCGCATTCAAATCGGAAAGGCCACTTGCAGTGCCTTGATTGATTGCGGAGCATCTCGCAACTTTCTGAGCCAAGCCTTTATGGCACGCGCAGGCTTCGTCCCCCGTGTTCGAAGGAAGATGCAACCTATGCAAGTCACACTTGCAGACAGCCGCACGCAAAAGTCAATTGACCGATGCGTTGACGGCGTTCCGGTGTACTTTGCACCCGTTGCGGGCGAGCCGGTGTCTTTCGACATCCTCGACACCAAGCTCGACATGATTCTAGGCATGTCTTGGTTGGTTATCACCGATCATCCGGTAAACTTTCATGACCGAACCGTTCACGTTCGTGATTGGAACGGAGTGTTAATCTCGTGTACGATCGTGACTCCTCACACTTCGATTGCTTGTCACGTGGTTTCCGTCGCAAGGATTCGCGGCACCATAGCTCCGAATGACGTAGAGGAGATGGGAGTTGTTTTCCTACATGCCCTCCCCTCGACGGACGGACCAGCCAC